TTCACTCTCAAAATAAAATCTAAAGCTTTTAATTTGAGGTTGAATGTGTTAACTTTTAATTTAAGTACAAACATTTTTAAATTGGGTTAAAAGTGTGAACTTTAAAATCAAAAGTGTTTAAATTGTATTCGAGAATGCGCATATTAAAATGTAAAGTTTTCACTTTAATATTCAAAGTGCTAACATTAATAATTTACATTTTAAAGTGTTAACTTTAAGATTAAATATTTTTCAATACGGCTGGTTTTCATAATTTTAAAGTTCCTTGTACTGGATTTAAAGTGACTTTAAAGTGTTTCTTTTCTGAGTGTAGCGGATCCATTTTTGGTAAACTTATTTTCCATCATGCTGGTGGTATACCTTGTGAATTTAATCAAACGTTTCGTGCTGTGCGGACGTGTTTTTCTTCGCTCTTCGATTTTAATCATAATATCAGCTTAACTATTGTGACAGTGACTCTTTTATGTATTTGCTTTTTTGCAATGATGAAAACTCGATATTGATTGAGACAGTGACTCTTGTGTTTTCTAAGGAAATTATACCTTAATATTTATTTTATATTAAAACTAGGGCTGTGCGATTAATTGATTATTCAAAATTTTAATTAATCATAAAGTAAGTAACTCAATTATTCGATTAATTGGAAATTATGATTACTCAAATGTTCAGTTACTCGAGTAATCAAGATTTTGATTAACCAAAAACAAAAATATTTGAGTAATTTGCTTTATGATTAATTAATAAATAAATATAAAAAAGAAAATAAGCATTTTCCAAAGCAAACTCTTTTAACGAGCAAAATTAATTTTTTTGAGTAATCATATTTCAAGTAACTCGATTAATCATCGTTTTGAGTAATCAAAATCTTGATTACTCGAGTAATTGATTAACCGAATAACTGATTAACCAACTTGCTCGAGTAATCGAATAATCGCACAGCCCTAATTAAAACTACATGATGCCTTGCGCATGTGGCCACAAAGTTGATAGGACGCAATCAACAGTGCTGTGCGCGAAGTGCAATGTACTCTTTCATACGAAATGTGTTGGTATTCTACCGGCAGATGCAGAATTTTTGCTCAGCTCAGACAAGAGCTTCATTTGTAAAGGCTCTTCTGAAGCTCGTCGTGATTCCCTCCGTTCGCCTCCTCCGCCCGTTGTCGTGGATGAAAATTCAAAAACTTCTAATATCACCAAATCTATCTCTTCGAACTCTTCTAACTCTGTGAAATCAAAGCCCGCTGGCTCTTTAAAGCTAAATGGTAATTCAAATGATAATGCCAATACCAATAAGCAACAAGTTACATTGGGATCTCTATACAATGTGGTTGTCGCTCTTCGAAATGGGAATGCCCGCGTGAATAATCTGATCAGTGCTTTACGGGAAGATAACAATAATTTATTGTTAAAAACTGAAAACATTCACTCAGATCTTCTTTCCATGCAGCGCAATCTGCTTGAGAAAGATGATACGATTGCCTTACTCATGGCAGAGGTTAAAGACCTTCGCTCCTCTATTGGTGTTGCTGTTGAGAAGTTTGGTAGTGATAACGCAGCTGTAAAAGAAATTATTGCAGCTAATCGCGCTCTTTTTCTCTCGTCGCATACTTCTCGTGCTGCTTGTTCTTCGAATGTCGCTTGGTCATCCGCTGATACACACAGGCAGCTGACTTTTCGGCGCCAACTGCTACTGCAGTTTCCACTGATGCTCTCTCTGTTGATGCTCGCTCACCTGCTTCTTCGGCTGTCGCTGCTAATTCTCTATCTGCTGATAATGCTTGGCCATCTGCTGATACAAATTCGCACACTGAAATGTCGGCACAAAAAAATGTTGTTGCCTGCACTGACCCTAAAGTGAACACTGCTGCTTGCTCTATGCGCTCTACACACACACATGCTAAGTTTTCGGCCCCAGCTGCTGACGTCTCCAATGATGCTCTCCCACCTGCTTCTATTGCGCCTACTGCCGAGGTTAATGATAATGCACAGTGGTCGACAGCTACGAATAAAGGAACAAAAAACAAGTGCGTGTTTTCGGTACAAATGCATGTAATGATTTGGACGTTGCGGTCCGGCATAAATGGTTGCAATTAGGTTCTTTCTCGGCTTCCGTATCTGAGGATAACATTAAAGATTATGTTTTTAAGCAAACTGGTTTAGATAAAAATTTGTTATCCTGCTTCAAACTGGTTAAGAAAAATGTCCCAGTATCAACTATTAACCCTGCGCCCGACACACGGTTCCAGCCAGACCTTTTTAGTTTTCAATTGTAAATAAAGTATATTAATATTTTAGCTATCGACTTGCGCCTCCAGGTACCTTCCTAAAATTTTATTAGCTATCGAATGATGAAAAAGTTCTAGAACGAAATGTTTTTAAATAGGATGTTATAAGCATATCTTGAAATATCTACCTCGCACCGACACATGGTGTCTGGACAGACCCTGATACATTTTGTAAGGCAACGTGTGAGATTGAAGAATTTTGTTCATTCAAAACGGTATTTTTTACTTTTTCTCTTCTTCTCTTCTTTGTATTCTATTCAGTTGACAACTGAACATTGAACGGAGAACAACCTAGCAGTTATAAAAAATACATATAGCGCGCAAAATATTTTTTCTTATTTTTACTAAGTGTGAATATGGATGATGAAGTGGAATTTGTTTATAATACGCGGTTAAGAGGAAGAAATGTAAACACCGATTTTTATTCGCGTTTGTCTTCGGCTTTGTTAAATGATATACAACGTGAAAATACCGATGTAGGTGTAAATGAAGATGACATCGATAACGATACTGAATACGTGCCTGAAGGTGAAGCATCGGACGTTGAAGACGAAATGGTAATCGAACCAAATGAAATATTTGATAGTGATGAAGAAGTAGAGGAAGAATCGAGTGAAATGCATAACTTTCAACAACAAAATGATTTTTTTTACGGTAAAGACGGCACGAAATGGAGCAAAAATGAGCCAAATGCTAATGTTCGTTTACGGCAACACAATATTTTGCGTTTCCGACCTGGACGTAAGCAACAAAACTCTAACCCCATTGAGGTATTCAAAAATTTTTTTTCACCAAATATTTCATTGTTATCATTACCGAAACAAATCGATATGCAAGAGATGCCACACGAAAATGGAATGAGGAAAATCCGGGATCAAAACCACGAGTGTGGATTGATTTGACCAGCACTGAACTTGATGCACTTATTGGCATACTTTTGGCGTCTGGTGTTTCACACAATAATATGCAAGATTCATCAGTTTTGTGGCGTTCCGATGCTTTACCTATTTTTCGCTCAGCAATGTCTTATCGACGATTCCTTGAATTGACTCGATTTATCCATTTCGATGATGGTCGTACGCGTGAATTTCGACAAAGCACCGATAAAGCGGCACCAATTCGAGATGTATGGAATTTTTTGAATGAAAATCTTTACAAAAACTACGAACCCCATGAAAACATTATTGTTGACGAGCAACTCTTTCCATATCGTGGTAGAACAAAATTTACTCAATTTATACCATCAAAGCCAGCTAAATATAGCATAAAAGTTTGGTGGGCTTGCGATTCAAAAACAAAATATCCACTGCAAGGTAAATTGTACACGGGAAGAGGCGAAGGCGAAGAGCGCGTAGTGAAACAAGGTGAGAATGTTTTGCTACAATTTGCAAACCGATATAGTAATAGCGGTCGAACATTTGTTGCCGACAATTTTTTCACCACATTGGAAGGAGCTAAGAGACTCGCCGCCATCGGTCTTGCATTCGTCGGCACCATTCGATCTAATAAAAAGTGCCTTCCTGCTGAAATTAAAAAAAAATCCTACTCGCCCTGTGCTTTCGTCTCTTTTCGGTTTTCATGAAAATTTGGTCTCGCTTTGTAGCTACGTGCTAAAAAAGAACAAAGCTGTGAATTTACTTTCCACGGTCCATTATACAAAAAATTGTGAAGGCGAAGCAATGAAACCAAAAGCGATTTTGTTTTATAATTCAAATAAAGCTGGTGTCGATTGCATGGACCAGATGGTAACTCATTACACGTCGAAACGGCCAACTAGACGATGGACTTTCGCTTTCTTTTGCAACATGCTAGATGTTATGGCATTGGCTGCTTATTGTATTTGCAAAGAAGTAGATGGTCTCACCAGAAATGACGCGCGACGCAAATTTTTGACTACGCTATCCACCACATTGGTTCTGGCAAACATCGACAACCGAATGAACAATATTCACATCATTTCGCAGTTCAGCACTCGTTTGGCTTTTGAATCGTATTTTGGTAGATCAATCAATCTTCCAGGAAACACGTTGACAATTCATAAAGCTGGAACTGATACACTCGCTGGCAAGAGGGACTGCAGACTTTGTTTGCAAGGAGAAGATAAGCGGCGCCGAAAAACTTCCTTTTTTTGTTCAATGTGTTCAAATCCAGTGTGTCAACAGCATTCAAAAATCGCATATACATGCCTCAGCTGCGTGCCTAACAACCTATAAGAGAACTCGTTCGATATTTCATAATAAAACTCAATGAAATTCCATTTCGTTTGTTCAAATGACAATGATATTATTTGAAATACTATAGAAAAAGTTTTTTTCAAACCGAAATACGTTTTAGATTTGTTTTTTTCAGTAAGGTAAAAAATAAAAAATATATATCTGATTGATAAAATGCGAAAAAAAACGAGTTTTATTTTCATAAAATGTATATAAATACGTAGGGGTCCAGCCAGGCATCATGTGTCAGTTGAAAGGTACATGGAACATGTGTCAGACGGAGGGTTAAGAGAGTTAATTTTAAGTTGGGAGTTCCGGAATCCTCGTACGCGAAGTTGCTGAGCTCGTGGTGTAAATGGTTTTGAATATGTGTCACAATATGTATCACATAGGTTGCCATCTTTTTAAAAGGTTAAATTCAAACTATTCAATATTTTAAATGATTATTATAATATGGGTATCAATCGAAATGGGGTTTCAAGGGCTTCATTTCAATATTACATGTAAGAGGTTTCCATCTGTTTAAAATCTCAAATTCAGTTAAAGGGATACGTTAATTGAAAAAGTATGACAAAGAAAGTTTTTGTTTGAAAATATTTTGAAGATGGTTAAACAAATTTTAAACCTCCTGTTTTTTAATTGAGTTTTCTTGAAATAAATTTTACTCAATCAAGCACGTAGAAATTTCATACACTCAGCGAAGCGGGTGAGGGCGATCTAGTCTCTTATAATTTTACTGAAATCTATTCAGTAGTTTTTGAGTTAAGTCTGAACAACGAAAACTGCTATTTTTTCATACTAGTATCGCCCCGTTGTCGAAATTCGACCACCTCACTTTGTCATACACTTTCAATTTGTTTGTGGCGCTTTTTATGTCCATGAGCACCTTTCGATCGTCCACGTCACTAATAGTATTAGGGGAGTGATATATTTTCCATTAAATAATTCTATAATCCATAAGAGCAGTAGGGAGGAATAGATTAGTATGGGATTTTGTTAGCGTGTTAATATAAAGATAGTAGAAGGTGAAACAAAAGCGGGCATTCATAGGCTTATACAGAAATCGGAATAACTCGGCTCTTGAGCCACCTGTCGGGTCCATTTTTCGCAGGTATATTTCCCTTGATGTTAGTAATATGTATTTTGAATTTGAAGCAAATCGGAGCATACATGAAATTTTTCGGAATAACTCGACTCCTACGGCACCTAGCGGAAAAACAAACAAAATGCGCATTTCTATTGATGTTAGTAATACGTATTTTTAATTTGAAGCAAATCAAACCATAAATAAAATTTTTCGGAGTAACTCGACTCCTGCACCACCTAGCGGAAGAAGAAACAAAATGCGCACGTCATCTTTGAAACATCTTTCGTACAAAGAAACAACCTTTCAAATCAGTTGAGAAACATAGGAGCAGTAGGGAGGAATATATTTGTATGGGATTTCGTTAGCGTATTAATACCCTGTAGGAAAAACATGAGCTAGTGAACCAGATTTCTAGTTCAGTACTAGTTCTTTTTCGACAAAAACGAACCAGACCGATAGTAAATAGTTCCGTAACAGTCCAAAAGCAGCGAAATGTGGTACTTTCACTAAACTATTTTATTTTAAATTTTAAAAGCAGGGAAGGTAATCATTATGAGTAAAATAATTAAATCAGCATTTAATCATTATTTTATGAATTATTATTGAGTTTTATTTTTTCGCTCCAACGGAAATAATTATAATTTGATTTTTATTTTTGGGATCAAAAATAATGATTATTTTATGATTTTTATTTTTTCGCGCAGAGATTATCATTAATTTTGATTTTTATTTCTCCACTTAAAAATAATGATAATTTTTTAAACTGAAAAGGCCATACAGACGCAACCTACTGAAATTTTGATCTGAAAAGTTTGGGTCTTATTCCTTTTATAAGGGTGCGGCTACCTCTCAAAAGGATACGTCGGTAATCACGCTGGTATAGTTTCTGAGTTGCTTAATAATCATTATACTTAGTGATGCCATAAACATAGGCTAAGATCCTGGAGGACAATTGAGAATGGCAATGCAGTTGCAGAAAAAGAGGCATTTAAAAAAAAAGTGTCAAAATAATTACCACTTTCTCACTAAATTTATTTAAAAATGCAAGCCACCAGAGCTACCTTTTTTTAAGAAAAGACAAATTATTATTTTTTATGCAATCCAGCACAGCTACCTACAGTCAGTCAATAAAGGTTAGGTACAACGAATTTTTTACAATACGGGCAACTATGTTTTAAATATTTTAGTTTTCGGTAATTTTTTTTATAAAAATATGGTTAATTCTACAACAATATCCCCAAAAATCGGAGTTCCAAACCTTGTGCAAAATTTAAGAAAATTCTGCAAAATTTCATTAAAATAATTCACTTTCTCTTTACGCTCTCTAGAAAAAAGTTGAGTTTGCAGTTTTTTAGCCCATTCAATTTTAGTATAATGAAGTGCAAGTATGAGGAAGCTAGGACTTACCAAACAACAACAAAAAAAATTGCTAAATATCAATAGTAAGTCCTAGCTACCTCAAACTTGCACTTTGTTATACTAAAATTGAATGGGCTAAAAAACTGCGTACTTAACTTTTTTCTAAAGAGTGTAAATTGCAATATTTGGATGGAAGTTTGCAGAGTTTTCTTTAATTTTGCATAAGGTTTGGAACTTTGATTTTTGGGGTTTTTGGTGTAGAATTAACCATATTTTTATAAAAAATTAGGGAAGAATAAAATATTTAAAAAATAGTTGCCGGTATTGTAAAAACTTCGCTGTACCTAAACTTTATTGACTGACTGTATATCTTATTTAAGTTAAGTAAGACAAAAACTTTCGAAGTACTTAATATACATATAAGCTTTAAAAGAACTGAATTTACTTAAAAATCAATATGCTTAAATTTAGACACGTAAGAAAAAGTGAACTAATATTTTTACTTTTAAGCAGAACGCACTTTTGTTTTTTACTTATTACTTAAGCTTAATACTACTACTACTACTAATGTGGTTTATAAATTTTAAATAAATGCGTTTAAACATTTGTGATGGTATTGTCCTTCCTTCAACCGATCGTATTTAATATAAAAGATAAATGTTTCGACAAGCCTGATTCGAAATGTAGATCTAAGATGACGAATTTATAACAGGTTGGGAGCTATAAAAAATGGATGCAGATCGAACTAGATCTCATCGGTTGAATTAGGAACTAGAACCCTACAGGGAAACGACAAAGAAGAAAGCTAGATCTAGCCTCAAAAAGTCTAAACTGGCAACACTGCTCTTGATATTATATTTTTGGATTGGCTGCATACTCAGCACACTTGTATTTCATTAAATCTACTTTTAATATTTAGTTTTATGAATAAATGGTTGTTAAGTATTCAACGTTACGGAGTAACTTTTATTGCGATATAAGGAAACAACCAAAAGTATATTTATAGTTTTTCAAAATGTTTACACATTGAAAAATATAAATACCAAATTCAAATTCATGTCTGTAAAATTAAATTTGTTTCTACATTACATATACGTACAGATATATGTATTTATTCCAAAAATACCAAATTTTAAAAATAAAACGATTACATATAAAATATTAATTTAGCTTAATTTCTGTATAAGAAGTTGCTTTCTAGTACATTTGTATATATGTATACGGGTAATTTACAAAAAAGTGTACATACATGGAAAGTATTCTTTATACTGATTTTTGTTAAATATTTGCCAGAATGTTACTTTTTTAGAAGTAAGTTAAAGGGTTAAATAAGTTTAGAAACTGTAGATAAAATATACTAACCGATAAGCATTGTACTGATTTTTAACATTAAATGCATGATTTTTAAACATTTGCATATCACTTTGAATCTTAATTATCACATAAGCTAATGTTGAAGTTTTTTCCACCTTTTCCATGACAGTTTTCATGGTTCATGTCATGGTTTTTCTTGGGAAGTAGGCTTTTTGTTTAATCTTTCTTTGGCAACATATGCATATATGCCATTTGAACACTTTTGGAGAAATAAACTGTGGGCGTATGATGTATTTTGGAACGAATTTCCGTCATCCCTTGTCAAATTTGGTTTGGAGGTAAACCGGTTTCGGCGTTGTGTATTCTTCAGTGTCAGTTTCCGTTCTCTTTTTTCACCTAAAAGTGACATTCTGGAAATATTTCACATTTTTTGATTTTTTTTCTAAGAGTTTTATTTCACGAAAATATAAAAACAAGGCAATCTTTGAAACTCCTTGAGCAATAAACGGAAATCGGTAGTTATCTTATTTTAAGTGCTTTTTGCATAAAAAACTGGGTGACATTCGGGAAATATTTAGCCGTACTTACCATGGTGCAATGATAGATCCACTCAAAAACACAAAATAATTACTTTTATTAAGTTATTTCTTCTTGCGCTTCTTAACTGTAATGCACTTAGGCGAGCAAAACAACTATGTTAACAATTTTAATATCACGGAAAAATTAAAAAAGTGACATTCAGGAAAATTCGGAGGGACATTATTATATTTATTATGTTGATTCACAAACAGTTACGCTTTTTTCATTGTTTCTTTATTTACACTTTTTATTCATGTTAATTATCGAATAACCTGAGCGGGGACAACTATTTTCATATGAATTAGGTAGAATATATCAAAGAAATACCCTTCGCAAAAGAAAACAAAACGGCCTACAATAATAAAAACAGCTTTGCTGGTGGCTTATTATTTGGATCGTATAATGCTGTTTTTGAGTTTTCGTGTTTGCCACCATTAAAAATTAAAAAAGGGGGGACAGAAAATAGCACTTCGGTCGGAAATGACGCACACACATATTTATCTACGTATCGTTACCTTAATATAGAAAGGCCCTATCTAAAATGTTGGTTTCTTTACGGATCGACGAAAAAACTCCATTCAAAATCAAGTCCTTTTGCTGCGAATTTCTTTTAAAGGCTGTTTTTATTTATGAATATCACTAATTTTATGCTGTAGAAGATATTTTTAAAATCCAGTAGATACTTAGTAAGTTATCGACAGACTTTTGTACAATACTGGATTTGAAAAGAAAATGAGTATGTATATTAAAGCAACGATAGATAAATGTGTTTATTTATAAGTAGGTGTTGTTTTTGAGCCACTCAACACACATATGAACCATAATAAGCTTGCTCTACGCTGGGAAAATGGGCACAAAACTTTTCGGTTGCCATATTTGTTCGAGTTGAAAAGGATACCACACGCAAGTCGCCATTATCCAATATTTGCAGCGCATTCAAAAACGGCGATTTTCTTAATACTAGTTTGCCTGGCACGACAAGTGTGTTTTGCAGTTCACCGGAGACGGGGTTATATTGAGAACAACGCGTTCTGGCCAAAATGCAGGATGTGACATTCGTATAGAAATAGATGCGATCCAGAGTATCCGTTAATTGCCTGGTGCCCAAGTTTTCTATATAACAATTGGATATCTAAAAAATTAGAGCGCACTGATGTCAATACGATATTTCGTGGGAAAGTCAAAAATTTGTTTCTTTCAAAGTCACCGACAACCCTGGGGATTACAAAAATCAACTTACCAAATTTTGAGCGTTGACGCGCCTAACGCAGCGCACGAATTCACAATAGCCCGAATAACAAGGGTCGACTGAAAAATCGGTGGATAAGGGCAGCGTGGCCGTTTCATTCACCATGGCCTGCAGAGTGTTCGCGCAATCGGCATAGCTTGTGTTGGCGATGTACAATCGGGCGCAATCATTTAAAGAAGAAATCAAAGCTGGTCCACTTCTGATGCTACCGGCTCTGAAAAAGCAGCCATAACAGCCATCTCTTGCTTGCCTAGATTGTGTTTGTGTTGCGTTGCAAAGCAAATTTAGTAGCGAAAGCAATTTGAGGCTAAAATAAAGAAAAAGCACAAAGTAAATAGACCGGGAGATGGGAAGAAAATAACAATAAAATTAGAAAATTTAATAAGTTATTTTTAAGCTCTTGGTCTTATTTTAGATAAAATATTAAAATTTTCCCGCTTTATTTAATTATATTTGTGTTTATATTTCGCCTATTCGCTCCATGCTTTTAATGCTTTGGTTAGGAAATATCTGCCCTCTCCCTCAGTTGCGTCGGTATACTTCTGTATTAGGCTGTGACCCGGAAACAGCGACATTTCGGAGACCTGTGTGGCTGACGAATTGGCTGGGAAAGGTAATCTTGAAACGCTATCGCCGGATCAAGAGCGGCCGGGAGTGCCATTGATCACATGGGGTACACTCTTGGATAAATAGGCCTCATGTCAGCTCAGCGAGCCACGAGCAGAAACCAAAACGTGCGCGATTGCATCTTTCTGACACACTTAGGGCCATTTTCTAATGTAAGCAGTAAAGTTGCCCAGTTAGGGCAGATAAATTGTTACTCACTTTAAAGTGTTTTGGTTTTCTTATCTTACCGGTAAAAATAAATTTGTTATTCCGTAGAGTGAAAATTCACTACATTCGTCATATAATTTCAAAGGTTGGCAATGCAACATAAGCAAATATAGAGCAAGAGCAATTGTTAGCAAAAACCAAGACCTTGGTTGAAATATCTAATATATCTGACTCATGAACCAAAACCGAACCGAAATTTAAAGTTGGGTACACATTTTTAGAGGTTGCATCGGGTGAGCAACAATTTATCGATTCGAGAAATTAATACGCTGATGAGAAAATGAAAACTCGTATATCGAGACGAAAAACAGGCCGGTAATCTAAAGGTTAGATGAGGAAACGGCCCTTACAAAGCTACTCTTAGCGGGGGTTTTAACGGGTCACTGTCCAATGTATTCATGTATTAAGGCTGAACATATCGCCGAATCCCATATGTCGCAGTTGCCTGGAGGATGACGAGGTGCAATCACCTTAACACTACCTCCTTAGGTGCCCAGCGTTTGCGAGGCTAAGGTTGAAGTACTTTATAAAATACTAGAACATTAAACCAGTGCTTAACCCATACAGTGTTTTAATTTAGTAGTCAAAGTTAGGGATAAATCGATACAAGTAAATCCAAGTACATACTCGATACTTTTCTCAATTTACCAAGTATTTTTGTACTCGATACTTTTTACTGCGATCCAAGTAGGTATCGAAAAAAAGTACTTGTATCGGAAGCGCAAAGCTTATTATGCTTCAGTATCTTCTTTGAAAAGCGACCCATTGGAGGAATTGGAAGATATGCGCACTACATTTCCGCAGCTGTATAAGCAAGCCCGTCTATACAGTGTTGCCGTTGTGCGACTTAAGGGGCAGTTTGACCCTTTTTGAGCGCCAATACTTTTTGACCCGACCTTTTGAAAATTTTGATTTTTTGACCCTTTTCCAAAATTATGTGCGACCTTTGCCCCTTTTCAGAGACTTTTTTTAGGAAATGTTAACAGAACCATGCTATCAAAAAATATTTCCTCCTGTGAGTATGAAAAAATGCATCACTTAAAACTTTTAAGGGAGATGTAATTCTTCTCAATTTATGTGTACTAGTATCGCCCAATTGTCGAAATTCGATATATTTTTATACACTTTTAAATTTTTGCTTATCGCCAATATTGGCTTCTTTATGCGAATGACGATTTTGAAGTCCACCACCAAAATTTATGTACAGTATATTTTGTTTAGCTGCACAAATTTCTTTGCACGAAAAACTTGTGCACCTAACCGAAAAAGGCACTTAAGCGAATTTTCTTTACTACTTCAATGAGGAAGGTATCCGAATCCCTATGAAACCAAATAATGGAGAAGCACCTATCACGTAGAAAATAATGCCTGCGAAATTTTTTTCGAATGGTATCTTATTCTGTATATAACTACATAAATTGATAGCCATTTTCGTTGTTCTGCGATATGAGCAAAATAAATAAAAGCTTGTAAAATTAGGTAATTGTAGGGCCAGTGCAGGTAAACGTAATACTTTCTTTGATAATTGATACTAGTTGCACAATTTTTAAGGCATGTATCGCCAATGGGCAGGTATGTTGAATGCATCTATCGAAGCACTTTCCTTATAAATGTTAAAAATAATGTCTCAGATGCGCATTTTGGGGTAGGTATCTTAAATGTGCACTTAAAGATAAAGGCAGCAAAGCAAAATATACTGTATAACGAATTTATTTATAGGAAAACTTAAAACAAAATTTCTTAGTAGCTTTCGAAATTATACCGAGAAAGTAACCTCAATTATATTGGTCTGAGAGCTCCTTGGAAGGTTACAACTAAATTGCCAACATCTGCATAAACTCCTCTTTCTTTTCGTCAGAATCAGTGGAGGTTAAGTACCTCGAAGGTGTAAAACAAACTATAATAATTCCTTCTATTACGGCGGTTTTACATGGGTTTTTGTCAAGATTGGGCCTAAAGCCCACTATTTTTGCATCACACGATTGGGTTACCGAGTTGTACCATTTTTTATGTTGATATTGTTGTTCTAAAGATGAAGCAAATCTGACCATAAATTTTAAGGATAGCTCTCAATTAGAGATCGCCATGGGATATCGGGACCCGCAGGATCCACGGAACTGATTTGAAGATGACCGGGATGGGCGGTATCGGGAAGGTCTGTCCACGGACGGAATGGGACCAAAATCCTTTCCCGATACTACCGATAAAACCGCAACCTCCGCAAATTCAGAAAATCTTCCTTAAAAAATTTTTATGAAATGTGCACTTTTATGTTTTATTGAGACGAAAACGAACAGCAAAGCAAAACAAAACAATCGGAGGATGCCAGATCTTTCATATTTTATATATTTTTTTTAATTAATATGAAATACGTAAATTTTTTAGAGATAGATTACGCGGTCCCCGGGCCCGCGGTACAATTATGAAAAAGGTCGGAATGAGCGGGTTCGGAAGTTAAAAATTGAATTTAGGGATGGGCGGGACCGGGACTTAATACTTAGTCCCATACCCATCTCTACTCTCAACCCCTGCGCCACCTAACAGAAGACAAACACACTGATCCTTTCAAAAATCATTACACAAAATAACAATCATTTAACGCCATTTAGAAATCTGGCAGAAAATGGTTCCAATTGAATTATTCTTGCCATTTTATATGTACATATATAGATGTAGCTGTATTAAATTCCATTACCTTATCATAAGTGCTTCCAGATATAAGCGATATGGAAATTGCATTTTGTATGCGAGGTACCTCATCCCCCTTTCGAATACAAATCTCTTTTCGCCATAAGTACGGTAATGATAACATATGCAGCTGTATAAACTTTCAGAACGTTAGCATAAGCGGTTCCAGAGAAATGCGATATGAGAATTTCAGTTTGTATGGGAGGTGCCACGCCCCCTTTTCCAAAATCTACCACTCTTCGTCGTAAGTACGGTATCGATAACATATGTTGCTGTGCCAAATTTCAGGACGTTAGCATTAGCAGTTTCAGAGATAATCGATATGAGATTTTAGTTTATATGGAAGGTGCCACGCCCCTTTTCCAAAATCTACCACTTTTCGCCGTAAGTACGGTATTGATAGCATATGTATGTGGTTGTGTAAAATTTCAGAACGTTAGCATAAGCGGTTGCAGGGAAAAGCGATATGAGAATTTCAGTTTCTATGGGATGTGCCACGCCCCCTTTTCCAAAAGCCGTAAGAGCGGTATCTATAAAATATGTTGCTGTGTCATATTTCAGGGCGTTAGCATTTGCAGTTTCAGGATAAGCGATATGAGAATTTCAGTTTGTATGAGAGGTGCCACGCCCCCTTTTCCAAAATCTACCACTTTTCGACGTAAGTAGGGTATTTAGAATCTATGCATCTGTGCTAAGTAGGGTATTTAGAATCTATGCACTGTGCTAAGTTTCAGTTCCCCAGGATAATTAGTTTTAGAGATATAGTGGTTTTCACATTTTAGTCTATATGTCAGATGCCACGCCCCCTATGTCTCGAGATTAAAATTTCTGGATTAGAGGAAGTTATATCCTTTAAATCGGTGTATGTTTCATTGAAATCGATCGAACAGTGCCTTTAAAAAAAGGGATTGCAAAACTTTCTTGTGGCGTAGTTTCCTATCGAAAAATGGAATATTAAGATAATTGACTAATCTCACATTCTCTTTTATCCTGCTATTCAGCTTCGCTACTTTTAAACCACAAATGTCATCGCCGTCGGGAATGCGCAATCTTGTAATCTATCATTCTTTGGGTTGCTTTGCCTGTAAAATACTAAACGATAAATTAAAACAATCCTTAACATATGTAGTATGTGCGTTACGCTGTGATTGTGTGCTTAGTGGTCGTTAACTGTGCTCTTCCCATGTACACATTCGTATTCGCAAAATATTCCTATCAATTGATGCGAATGCGAATGTCGATGCAAATGTGTAAAATGATGCGAATCATTCGCATAACGATTGCGAATGCAAATATTCGCAACATCCCTGGTACATATCGTCGCTACTATGTCAAACTATCGAATGTGCGAAAATGCTTTTTCAATTATGATACATTGCGCATGCATTCAGAGTGGGGGTATTCTCTGAGTTATGCATAGGGATGCAAATTTTGGGTAATCGATACATCGATGTTTCGATGCATCAGACAAATTAACATCGATGCTAAAATACATCGCCAGAACAACATCGATATATCGATAGTTTCCGATGTTTCAAAAGTTGCTTGGTTGTAGTCACATTAAAAGGAAAATTTAATACTTTTCAATTCAAACTCTCTGTAATTCAATTAGAAAAATACTTACATATGGATGTATTTCCCTGTATTTATTCATTTCCCTGTAATTATTCCTTTACCATTCCTATAAATAGAATAGAAATGCATGCTGTCGTAAGTTCGTTGAGCCTAAAATTCCAAGGCCTAATTTCCTTGAAATTTCAACCCGGTTGAATAACTCAGTGAGAG